GGAAGGTGGAGGTTACAGTGAGCCGAGACAGCGCCATTGCACTCCAGCCTGGGCCACAGAGCGGGACTCCATCTCAAAATAAAAATAAAAAACGCGGGACACTTTCAAGAGTAAAAGGGGGCATTCAATGTATTTGCTGTTATTGCTATTACACAGCATCTGTTTTTGCATAATTAAAATGATAATATAGACCAGGTATGGTGGCTCAAGCCTGTAATCCCAGCACTCTGGGAGGCCGAGGTGGGTGGATCACCTGAGATCAGGAGTTTGAGACCTGCCTGGCCAACATGGTGAAATCCCATCTCTAAAAAATAAAATAAATGATAATATGAACAAATGGCAATTTAAAACAATTTTCTTCTTTTTTTTTTGACACAGAGTCTTGCTCTGTCTCCAGGCTGGAGTGCAATGGCACAATCTCAGCTCACTGCAATCTGCCTCCCGGGTTCACAGGATTCTCCTACCTCAGCCTCCCGAGTAGCTGGGATAACAGGCGCAGGTCACCACACCCCGCTAATTTTTTGTATTTTTAGTAGAAACAGCATTTCACTATGTTGGCCAGACTGGTTTCAAATTCCTGACCTTGTGATGCACCTGCCTCGGCCTCCCAAAGTGCTGGGATTACAGGTGTGAGCCACTGATCCTGACCCAAGAAATATCTGAATTTAAAAAATAAGTTAATTATGGCCTCGAACAGTGGCTCTGGCTTGTAATCCCAGCACTTTGGGAGGCCAAGGCGGGTGGATCACGTGAGGTCAGGAGTTTGAGACCAGCCTAGCCAACATGGCAAAACCCTGTCTCTACCAAAAATACAAAAAATAGCTGGGAATGATGGCACATGTCTGTAATCCCAGCTACTCAGGAGACTGAGGCATGAATCATTTGGAGCTGGGAGGCAGATGTTGCGGTGAACCAAGATTGCACCACTGCACTCCAGCCTGGGTGACAGAGTGAGACCTATCTTGAAAAAAAAAAAAAGAAAGAAATGAGCAGGATTTTTTCCAGGACCTTCATCTTAGTGGGATTTTCTCTAAACCACTACATTGTTCTAGTATTGGCCTTATTGGTAAAATTATTGGTTTTTTAATTTTTTATTATTTTTCCTTCCTTCCTTCCCTTTCTCTCCCTCCCTGTCTCTCTTTCCTTCTTTCTTTCTTTCTCTCTTTTTCCCCCTCCCTTCCTTCCTTCCTTCCTCTGTCTCTCTCTCAATTTTTCTTTTCTTTTCTTTTTTGTCAAGGTCTTACTCTGTTGTCCAAGTTGGAGTGCAGTGGCACAAACACGGCTAAAATTCAGACATTTCTCCACACAGTCACCAGCCTGGAGTGCAAGGCACGATCTCAGCTCACTGCAACCTCCGCCTCCCGGTTCAAGTGATTCTCCTGCCTCAGCCTCTTGTGTAGCTGAGACTACGGGCTCACACCACCATGCCTGGCTTATTTTATTTTATTTTATTTGTATTTGAGTAGAGACGGGGTTTCACTATGTTGGCCACACTGGTCTCGAACTCCTGACCTCAGGTGATCCGCAAGCCTCAACCTCCCAAACTGCTGGGATTACAAGCGTGAGCCACTGTGCCTGGCCTCACCTTCCTTTTTTTTTTTTCCTAGCAGGTTAGTTGTTACACACACCTTAGCAGATTCCGACCTCCATGGCCACCGTCCTGCTTCAGCTTCCTTTTTATATTTAGCACTGTATCTTGAAAATATTTGATATAGCAGATCTTTTTCCCTCCCAGACAGCCTAATATCCCTGTGGGTAATGTGGGTAATGCAAATTATGTAACTCCACCAATAGATGTTAGGTTGTTTTTCATGTTTTTCTATTACAAATAAAGTAGTAATGATTACCCTTATGCTTGTTTCCATCTGGAATTTTGGAGAAGAATGCTAGATACCTCAAATTCATTTATTAGCTAAATTGTATTTTACTTCAATGAGTTGAAATGTCAGCTTTATCCTGAACTGCACTAAATTTGCAAATGAATTTTGCTCTATTTCTGCCCCTCCTGTTCTGTTCCATTGACCTATATATTCTTGATCCATATGCAGTAGTCCCAACCCCTTATCCTCAGGGGATGTATTCCAAGACCACCCATGGTTGCCTGAAACCGTGGACAGAACTGAACCCTATATCACTATACACAGATTGCTTTTTTCTTCTTCACAATATCACAAATAGATTTGTTCTGGCTGAGCACGACGGCTCACGCCTGTAATCCCAGCACTTTCGGAGGTCGAGGTGGGTGGATCACCTGAGGTCAGGAGTTTGAGAACAGTTTGTCCAACATGGCGAAACCCTGTCTCTCTAAAAATACAAAAATTAGCCAGGCATGGTGGGGAGGTGCCTGTAATTCCAGCTACTTGGGAGGCTGAGGTAGGAGAATCACTTGAACCTGGGAGAAGGAGGTTGCAGTGAGCAGAGATCTTGCCATTGCAAAGTTTTGCTCTTATGTCTGGGCAACAAGAGCAAAACTCCGTCTCAAAAAAAAAAAAAGATTTGTTCTTACTGTAGACCTTAGCAACCTCAGCACACTTTTTAAAAGCTTTATTTATTTATTTATGAGATGGAGTTTTGCTCTTGTTGCCCAGGCTGTAGTGCTGTGGCACTCAGCTCACTGCAACCTCTGCCTTCCAGGTTCAAGCGATTCTCCTGCCACAGGAGCTAGAACTACTTGGGAGGCTGAGGCAGGAGAATCGCTTGAACCTGGGAGGTGAAAGTTGTGGTGAGCCGAGACCGCACCATTGCACTCCAACCTGGGCAACAAGAGCAAAAATGTCTCAAAAAAAAAAAAAAAAACTTATGAATTGAATTATTTCTGGAATTATCCATTTAATATTTTTGGACTACAATTGACCACGGGTAACTGAAACCTGGGAAAGCAAAACCAAGGTAAGGGGAGACCAGTGTGTCCGTGCTCAATACCAAACTTTCACTTACTGTAGTCACAAAACATTTCAATGTCTGTTAAGGATTCCTTCACTCTTTTTATTTATTTTCAGAATGTATTATACATTGCATTGAATGGATGAGTGCTTAATTTTGGGAGACTTTTCCTCAGATTTTAATAAAATTTGGTAAGTTCTAGGGGGATTCAAGGATTGGGGGAAAGAAAACAAGGGCACATTCGGATGTTAATTAGCTCGGTGTGTCCCCACAGACACTGAGAGTTGTAAAAGGGAGAAAAGGAGGAAGAAGAGAGTGTAAATCTTCCGAGAGAGGAGATAAGAAAGATGAGGTTGAATGCTTTCACCTGGCAGCACTTGCCTATAATTCCAACAGTTTGAGAGGCTAAGGCAGGAGATTGCTTGAGACCAAGAGCTGGAGATCAGCCTGGGCAACAAAGCCGGACCCCATCGCTACAAAAAATTAAAAATACATTAAAAATTAGCCTAGCACATGGTGCACACCTCTAGTCCTAGCTGCTCAGGAGGCTGAGATGGAGGATTGCTTGACCCTGGTAGTTTGAGGCTGCAGTGAGCTATAACTGCACCAATGCACTCCAGCCTGGGTGACGAAGCGAGACCCTGACTCAAAAGAAAAAAAAAAAGACAAGGTTGCAGTGTTCCCTTTCCCTGCAATATGACTTCGGCTATCCCCATTCCACGAAAATGCTCTTGACAAAGGACATTAGGTTTGTTTGGTTTGTAAATCCAATGGACTCTTTTCTTAGGGTCTGGTGGATAGTCCCCAAAAGATGGCAGTGCTTTCTTGATATTGTTTTTTTTTTTTTTGAAATGGAGTTTCGTTCTTGTTACCCAGGCTGGAGTGCAATGGCGCGATCTCAGCTCGGCGCGATCTCAGCTCACCGCAACCTCCGCCTCCTGGGTTCAGGCAATTCTCCTGCCTCAGCCTCCCGAGTAGCTGGGATTACAGGCATGCACCACCATGCCCAGCTAAATTTTTGTATTTTTACTAGAGACGGGGTTTCACCATGTTGACCAGGATGATCTCCATCTCTTGACCTAGTGACCCACCCACCTTGGCCTCCCAAAGTGCTGGGATTACAGGCTTGAGCCACCGCGCCCGGCCTCATTGTTGATATTAACACAAGACCAGACCCAGTTTGAATGGCTGCACACCCCCTATTCCTTTGAGTTGAATTTATCACCCCAGTCCAAGAGAATCTGATCCAGACACAGTGATGCCTGCGTCACACAGAATCCCTGCGTTTACTTGCATGCCTCTTCTTCCCCTTCACATCTTCCCCTCCTTACATCATCCTTCTGTCTTTCCGCTTGAGTTTGAGAACGATACAGTGAAGGATTTTAAAGAGGGGCAGGGTGTGGGGACAGACTGATTGAGCACCAGGGATAGAAATCATTCCCAAGAGTCTCCAACATTCACCTTGCAGCATACTTTACCTGAATACATAACTCTCCATAGTTGATAAGGTCCATGGCTCCACGTCTAATGCAATGTTTGGAAGCAGAGGCACTGAGTGTCTGTTGAAGGATCAACTACTGAATTATGTGTTGCTTGTAAGTCAAAATTGCTGCAACCTTTCATGACAACTACAGGTTATCCTCAAGAACTCATTTCTGAAGACCCTGGCAAAGCCCAGATTTGTCATAAGTAAGTATAGTTTCATTGACATTTAGTCTAGGGCAAGTAAATTACCCAATAAGGTGATTTATACATTCTTTCAACTTAATTCTCTGATAGGAAGCTAAGCAATGTGCTGTGGTCATTGGGCCTGATTTATATCAGAAAAGGGTACAAAAGAAGATGGAGGTTCTCTATCTTGCTCCTGTCCTCTCCTGGTCTCCTGTTACTATATAACAGGCCTCCTTTTCCCTTAATTACCTTCTTCATGGCTTGAGCGCTTTGATGACTTGATTAAGCCTTGCAGTGCAGTTCCAGTCCCTACCCATCTGATTAATTAGCCCAAACCTTATTAACTTCCTAATTCTGATCAATAAGGCACTGATGCTCAACTGGGCAAGGGCAAACTAAGGAGGCGATTTCATTTCAGACAGAGTCCCTACTACTTTTTAGCCATCTTTTCTTTATCTCACATTTCAACACCAGCCAAGTTGAAATATGGTCATCGAATAACGGTCCCACGAAGGCAGCACACCCTCTCCAGCACTAGCCACTTGCTGCAGCAGTCCTGTTCGGTGACATTATTTGGAAATTTTGCATGAAGGGCCTCTGTTATTCAGTATATCAGGGAAACGTTGCTCTTAGCCAGAGAAGAGTATGACGACGAGGACAACGGTGATCACGATGATGAAGATGATTCCTGCTCTGCAGGAAATGTACAAAATATGTAACAAGAAGCACCTCTTCCCCAAACTCAAATTTAGAATGGAGTTCTCCAACACTGAGAGACTATTTCAATATTCTAAATCAGCACTATCCAACAGAAATATTTTAAATTTTCTAGTGGCCACGTTTAAAAAATTTAAAATTGGCTAGGTATGGTGGCTCGCGCCTGTAATGCCAACACTTTGGGAGGCCAAGGTGGGCAAATAAACTGAGGTCAGGAGTTCGAGACCAGACTGACCAACATGATGAAACCCACCTCTACAAAAAATACAAAAATTATCAGGGCATGGTGGCACACGCTTGTAAACTAAGCTACTCGGGAGGCTGAGTCAGGAGGTTCATCATCGCTTGAACCCAGGAGGCAGATGATGCAGTGAGCTGAGATGGTGCCACTGCACTCCAGCCTGGGCAACAGAGCAAGACTCCATTTCAAAAAAAAAAAAATTAAAAATCAGGGGCAGGGCACGATGGCTCATGCCTGTAATCCCAGCACTTTGGGAGGAGCTGGTGTGTGGGTTGCTTGAGGCCAGGAGTTTGAGACCAGCCTGGCCAACATGGTGAAAACCCATCTCTGCTAAAAAATACAAAAATTAGCTGGGTGAGGTGGCACATACATGTAATCCCAGCTCCTTGGGAGGCTGAGACACAAGAATAACTTGAGGCCAGGTGCAGCAGCTCACACCTGTGACCCCAGCACTTTGGGGTTTGAGGTGGGCGAATCACCTGAGGTCAGAAGTTGGAGACCAGCCTGACCAACATCGAGAAACCCCATCTCTACTAAAAATACAAAATTAGCCTGGCATTGATGGCACATGCCTTTAATCCCAGCTACCTGGGAGGCTGAGGCAGAAGAATCACTTGAACCTAGGAGGCAGAGGTTGCGGGGAGCTGAGATTGAACCATTGCACTCCAGCCTGAGCAACAAGAGGAAAACTCCATTTCAAAAAAAAAAAAAATCACTTGAACCTGGGAGGTAGAGGCTGCAGTGATCCAACATCATGCCACCGCACTCCAGTCTCGGCGACAGAGCAAGACTGTTTCAAAAAAAGAAAAATAATACATTAAAAATTAACAAGTAAAACTAATTTAGTAGTGTATTTTATGTAAACCAGTATCTTAAAAAAATCACTGTAACTTGTAATCTAAATTGTTAACCACTGTGCTTTTTCCACACTAAACCTTTGAAATCAAGTGTATATTTTACACTTTCAACACATCTAAATTCCAACCAGCCACATTGTAACAGGTAAGTAGACACCTTTGTCTAAGAGCTACCATGCTGGACAGTAGAGTTCTAGCACAGGGAATCTCAAACTTGAGCTTGTATCACCTTATTAAAACACACGTGGTTGGCTTCATCCCCAGAGTCACTGATTCAGTGGTCTGGGGTTGGAGACTTAGCATTTCTAATAAATTCCTAGATGATGCTGATGTTGAAATCAAATGGGAATGATTCCAACTTCATCTTCTCCAGCTTAGTATAGATCTGTGCAAAAGCAGCGCCTCCTTCAATAAAGATAAGTTTCTTTTTTTTTTTTTTTTGTCTAGGGTTTCCCCCTTCAAAAAAGATAGTTTCATGAATTAGTCTCAATTATATTTCCCTCCATCATTTTCAGGGCCTGGTCTAGCTTTAAACCTCCAATTTTTTCATAAACCACGTGAAATTATTTATTATTATTATTTTTTCAGATCTTTTGTTCTGTTGGCCAAGCTGGAGTACAGTGACCGCACAATTTTGGCTAACTGCAACCTCCTCCTCCTGGGTTCAAGTGATTCTTGTGCCTCAATCTCCCAAGTAGCTGGGATTACAGGTGTGTGCCACCATGCTTGGCTAATTTTGTATTTTTAGTAGAGATGGAGTTTGCTGACCTTGGCTGATCGGCCCACCTCAGCTTCTCAAAGTGTTGGTATTACAGCCTTAAACCACTGTGTCTGCCCTGAAATTCTAAAGCTTAAAGAATAGACTAGTCCAGGCATGGTGGCTCATGCCTATAATCCCAGCACTTCGGGAGGCCGAGGCTAGGAAATCACCTTAGGTAGGCAGTTCAAGACCAGCCTGACCAACATGGACAAACCCTGTCTCTACCAAAAATACAAAAATTAGCCAAGCGTGATGGTGCACGCCTGTAATCCAAGTTACTCAGGAGGCTGAGTCAGAATCACTTGAACCCAGGAGGCGGAAGTTGCAGTGAGCCCACATGGCTGCCACTGCACTCCACCCTGGGTGACAGAGCTAGATTCCATCTCAGAAAAAAAAAAAAAAAAAAAAATGGCCGGGCGCAGTGGCTCACACCTGTAATCCCAGCACTTTGGGAGGCCAAGGTGGGTGGATCACCTGAGGTCAGGAGTTCGAGACCAATCTGACCAATATGGTGAAACCCTGTCTGTATAAAATTAAAATAAAAATAAAAAGATAGGCATTCAGTCCACATTTCAGCACAACCTCATCTCTAAGATGTGAAACAACCAGTAATGAGTCCTATCATAAGCACAATTTCAGAACCCACAAATACAGAACATGGCTTCCAAAAAATCAGATACAATAGAGCAACCTTTTCGTGTGAAAGGTAAGAAATATAGAAAGTCTAATTGCAAGGGCCAAGTGCGATGGCTCACACCTGTAATCCCAACAATTTGGGAGGCTGAGGCGGGCAGATCACCAAAAGTCGGTAGTTCGAGACCAGCCTAGCTGATATGGTGAAACCCTGTCTCTACTAAAAATGAACAAAAATCAGCCAGGTGTGACGGTACACACCTGCAGTCCCAGTAACTTGGCAGGCTGAGGTGGAAGGATCCTTTGAGCTGGGAAGTGGAGGTTGCAGTGAGTCGAGATCACACTGCACTCCGAGCTCGGTAACAGAGTAAGACTCTGTCTCAGAAAAAGAAAAAAGAAAAAGAAAAGGTAACTTGCAATCCAAGTAATACGCCTGATGTTTAGGCAAGGTAACTTGAAGGCTGAGCAATGTTTGACATTTTCATTGCAGAATGCTTTTCCATTCTTGCCTTCACCACGATGTTTTTGTTTTTGCCTCTGCCTTTGATCACACTGTCCCCTCTACTTGAAAAGGTGACCCCTTCTCCCAGCCGCATCCCCACCTCTTTTTTTTAGCTTCTTTTTTTTTTTTTGAGACGGAGTTTTGCTCTTGTTACCCAGGCTGGAGTGCAATGGCGTGATCTCGGCTCACTGCAACCTCTGCCTCCTGGGTTCAGGCAATTCTCCTGCCTCAGCCTCCTGAGTAGCTGGGATTACAGGCACGTGCCACCATGCCCAGCTAATTTTTGTATTTTTAGCAGAGACAGGGTTTCACTATGTTGACCAGGATGGTCTCGATCTCTTGACCTCGTGATCCACCCGCCTCTGCCTCCCATAGTGCTGGGATTACAGGCTTGAGCCACCGCGCCCAGCTTTTTAGCTTCTTATAGTCATTTCAATATTTTCTAGAAAAGGCAGGTTCTTGAATTACCAGGTAACTGAGGTTTCTGTGTTTCTCCAGATGCCCTGTATTGTGCCCAAGCGTTGGATCCCAAAACACTTTCCCAACAGGATGTGCTTCCCATCTGGCTGTGGCTGACGCAGACATTCCAGCCTCCCCCTGCACTGACTTAGCTCTTACTCCTGCTTTGTTACTAAGTAGAGATTATTACACTGACCTGACAAAGTTGCCGTGAGGGTGAGAAGAGATAATGGTCATAAAAGGGTTCTGCAGACAACCAGACTTCAGAATAGTTGGACAGAAAGGTGTTGGCAGAGTGGAGGTGGGGAAAAGAGGGTGTGCCTGTGAAGACAAATTCACAGACAGACGCTCTAATTGCTGACTATGACTTAGCAACTGTGTGGCCTGAGGCAAGTTCCAGAACTTCTTTTTTTCAGAGAGGGGATGGAGTCTCTCTTTGTTGCCCAGGTTGAAGAGCAGTGATGCTATCCTAGCTCACTGCAGGCTCCAGCTCCTGGGCTCAGAGGCTCCTCCCGCCTCAGCCTCCTAAGTAGCTAGGACCACAGCCTCGCGTCACCACGCCTGGCTCCGCATGTCCTCAGCACTTCGGTTGTTACATCTTGAAGACTAGAATCAGCTTCTTTCTCTGTGACCACCAAGCCAGGGGAGATGGAGGTTCCCAAAGGTGTTGAACATTCTGACTCCCGTAGACCAACCCAAGGTCAAGTCTTCGAACACGAACACTTTCCAAGGGTTATGAGACCTTGAATAGTCTGAAGGGAATTCTCTTCCAAATCTTTTTTTTTTTTTTCCTTGCGACAGAGTTTCGCTCTTGTTACCCAGGCTGGAGTGCAATGGCATGATCTCGGCTCACCACAACCTCCGCCTCCTGGGTTCAGGCAATTCTCCTGCCTCAGTCTCCTGAGTAGCTGGGATTACAGGCACGCGCCACCGTGCCCAGCTAATTTTTTGTATTTTGAGTAGAGACGGGGTTTCACCATGTTGACCAGGATGGTCTCGATCTCTTGACCTCGTGATCCACCCGCCTCGGCCTCCCAAAGTGCTGGGATTACAGGCGTGAGCCACCGCGCCCGGCCTCTTCCAAATCTTTTACTTCCACAGTTACCCAGAATCACAACAGCTTTACAAAAGGAAAATGCAGTCTCACCCATTCCAGTGCAGCTGTGGGTTTGCTCCAGGGTGGAAAGGTCTCTTGGAGCCCCAAAGAGGAGGCCTGTTTCTTTTTCTTTTTTTTTTTTTTTTTTGCTTGTAGAAAGTGATTTATTGAGAGGGAGAAAGAGAGACAGAGAGAGAAACAGGAGAAGGAGAGAGAAATAAGCAGCTAACTCTCACACTGAGTGAGAGTATCTAGAAAGATGGAATCCAGGAGAGGAAAGCAGTTTCCACACTGAGTGGAAGGGAACAGAGAGAGATGGAGTTTAGGAAGGGAAGACAGGCTTCCACGAAGGGAGTGTCCGTGGAAGGGGACTCCAGAGGGAAAATCCAGGAGAGAGGAAAACAGCCTCCACAACACAGGAGTGTTCATGGAACGGGATCCAAACATGGAGTCCCGAAAGCCTGTTTCGATGCTCTCTCCAGTCGCCTTAAATCCTCAAGGCTGGCATTTCCCTTTAATCTTACAGCCATTAAAGGAAAACATGGCCTTAGAAATGTGGTATTTTGGTCCGTATCAGATATTTGTATTTTACATATATGGTGGAGTAAGTAGTGGGAAAATGGTAATTTTTGTTTGACTTTGCTCCCTCCTTTCCTGATCATTAGTCACAGAATGCGTCGTTCCTGAGAGACGGTACCAAGAGGAAAGGGAAGAGCTATTGACAGCTGAGAAAGACTGTGTGATGTTTAAACATGAGCAATTCTTTTTCAGTTGTTCTCAATACTCAATCCTGGGACTCCACACTCTGGGGTGGGGGTGGGGATACCTTCAAACAGACTGAACAATTGCATCAGTAAAACTGATTCCATTTTAATGTGATAAGAATTGTGTTTGAAACCAAATTATTCAAATCACACTGGATAAAACCCTCAGAGCTTTTATGTTTCATATTTGATGTATGCTATTTTCTTTCTTTCTTTTTTTTTTTTTTTTTTTTGAGATGGAGTTTCGCTCTTGTTACCCAGACTGGAGTGCAATGGCGCGATCTCGGCTCACCGCAACCTCCGCCTCCTGGGTTCAGGCAATTCTCCTGCCTCAGCCTCCTGAGGAGCTGGGATTACAGGCACACACCACCATGCCCAGCTAATTTTTTGTATTTTTAGTAAAGATGGGGTTTCACCATGTTGACCAGGATGGTCTTGATCTGTTGACCTTGTGATCCACCCGCCTCGGCCTCCCAAAGTGCTGGGATTACAGGCGTGAGCCACCACGCCCGGCCTGATGTATACTATTTTCTTTTCTTTTCGAGATGAAGTTTCACTCTTGTCACCCAGGCTGGAGTGCAATGGTGGGGATCTTGGCTCACTGCAATCTCCCCATCCCAGATTCAAGTGATTCTCCTGCCTCAGGCTCCCAAGTAGCTTGGATTACAAACCTCTGCTGCCACGCCCAACTAATTTTTGTATTTTTTGTGGATTTGTGGTTTCACCATGTTGGCCAGGCTGGTCTCCAACTCCTGACCTCAAGTGATCAACCCACCTCAGCCTCCCAAAATGCTAAAATTACAGGCATGAGCCACTGCACCCAGCCCAATGTGTGCTGCTCTTAAAAGAGGTGACAGGGTGCAGTGGCTCATGCCTGTAATCCCAGAACTTTGGGAGGCTGGGGAGGGTGGATTATGAGGTCAGGAAATTGACGTCCTGGCTAACATGGTGAAACCACGTCTCTACTGAAAAACAAAAAATTAGCCAGGTGTGGTTGTGCACTCCTGTAGTCCCAGCTACTCAGGAGGCTGAGGCAGGGGAATTGCTTGAACTGGGGAGGCGGAGATTGCAGTGAGCTGAGATTGTGCCACTGTACTCCAGCCTGGTGACAGAGCAAGACTCTGTCTCAAAAAAAAAAAAAAAAAAATTTGTAAAAATTACATTAGTAAATCAGATTATGACATTTGCTAATTATAGTCAATCTCATTTTGTTTCATCTTGTAAAATGTTTATTTATTTATTTATTTTTAAAGACGGGGTTTCACCATGATGGCCAGGCTGATCTTGAACTCCTGACCTCAGTTAATCCACCCACCTCGGCCCCAGCCTCCCAAAGTGCAGGATTACAGGTGTGAGCCACCACAGTTGGCCAAAATGTTTAATATCGTCTATGTCCTATTAACCAACCCCGAATGAAATTATATGCTAGCTGCCAGATCAATTTGTTTTAAGGAAAACCTATCTTTATCTTCCATTATGTGAATGAAGAAAGTTTAATTACGATCCACATCAATAAGAGACACATTTTCAATGGGTTTACTTTTTCTCTTTTTTTTAAATTTTATTTTATTAATTTAATTTTTTATTTTAGAGACGGGGTTTCACCAAGTTAGCCAGGATGATCTCGATCTGATCTCTTGACCACATGATCTGCCCACCTCAGCCTCCCAAAGTGCTGAGATTACAGGTGTGAACCACCATGCCCAGCCTAAAATGTTTTTTTTTTTTGGTGGCCCAGTCTGGAGTGCAGTGGTGCAATCTCGGCTCACTGCAACATCTTGAAACCTCCTGGTTTCAAGGGATTCTCCTGCCTCAGCCTCCCAAGTAGCTGGAATTACAAGTGTGTGCCACCACATCCCACTAATGTTTGTATTTTTAGTAGGGAGACGCAGTTTTGCCATGTTGGCCAGGCTGGTCTTGAACTCCTGACCTCAGGTAATCCTCCTGCCTTGACCTCCCAAAGTTCTGGGATTACAGGGGTAAGCCACCGTACCTGGACAATTTTTGTATTTTTAATAGAGACAGGGTTTTACTCTGTTATCTGGGCTGGTCTTGAACTCCTGACCTCAGGTGATCCACCCACCTCGGCTTCCCAAATTGCTGGGATTACAGGCGTGAGCACCCAACCCGGTTTGTGTTTTTAAATGTCCGCTTACTATAGCAAGAAGGGATTGGTGGGGAGCCTGACCAGAGGTGAAGACACTACCTCGGCAGCTATTCCAGGTGACTATCATGAGCAACAGTTTACTGTATATTTTCAAATAGCTAGAAGAGCAGGTCCATGAGGAGGACAGGAGGACCTTGCAGAGGCCATCCTCTCAAGGAGTCAAGGGCAGAGACTGTTTCAAGGGGTGGGAGTAGGAGAGTGATGGACCCACCAGATAAGGAGTTGAAATTTCTAATCTCACCAAGGGCAATTCACTACATGTTTGGATAAGTTACTTGTGTTTGTACCTATTGGATGTACCTAGATTCAGGTGGTACATCCATTTCCAAGAAACTGTCAGGCCCAAAAATGAATTCAAGCCCCATCATTTGCAAGATTAAAAAGTTGCAGCTTTGAAATGAGAGCCTTTCCTGTCAGCTTTTTAACAGCCTGAGGGCAAGTTTATCCTATCATTTGTTTCTTGTCAGCACGACCTTCCTGGTTTATAATTGGTGTTCAGTTAAAATGTGAGGAGGAAGATGAAAAAGTTCTGGAGACAGACCGGGCACGGTGGCTCAAGTCTGTAATCCCAGCATTGGGAGGCCAAAGCAGGCAGATCACCTGAGGTAGAGTTCAAGACCAGCCTGACCAACATGGTGAAACCCCGTCTACTAAAAATACAAAATTAGCTGGGTGTGGTGGTACATGCCTGTAATCCCAGCTACTCAGGAGGCTGAGGCAGGAGAATAGCTTGAACCCAGGAGGCAGAGGTGGTGGTGAGCCAAGATGGCACCATTGCACTCCAGCCTGGCTAACAAAAGCAAAACTCTGTCTCAAAAAAAAGAAAGAAAAAGTTCTGAGACAATGGTGGTGATGGCTGCACAAACATGTGAATGGATTTAGTGCCAGTGAACGTACGCTTAAAAATAGTTAACATGACCCCCAAAACTTGAAAGCAAGATCTCAAAATGGTATTTGTACACCCAGGTTCATAGCAACATTATCCTTTTTTTTTTTTTTAATAAAGATGGGGTTTCACCATGTTGGTGAGGCTGGTCTTGAACTCCCAACCTCAGGTGATCCGCTCACCTTGGACTCCAAAGTGCTTGGATTACAGGCGTAAGC